GATTTTAATTTCAAATCTTTACCAAGTCACAGAAAACGAACAGATGGTTGAAAATTGAAAATTCAAACGCTAACATTTTTTTAAAAAAATTGTCTGCATACTTATGGAATTAAAAACATATGTTGTAACAACCCTGTAGCCCTGTACGTATGTATTGCAGGCTGTTTGAGTCTTGTCACAATCGTGGTGATAGATATTTAATAGAATAACTTCAGAGTAAATCACAAACATTTAATTTAATATACTTATAAAACATGTACAACGACAACCAGTTAATAGCATAAGTTCAGTATGCTTCAAAAATATGATGATTAAGACAATTATAAGCCGCTTAAGACTTCAAAAGAAGATGATAGGTAGAAACTTCATGTGTAGTGTATGGTGGTCCCAGCACATCTGCCCTGCTATGCCTGAAGTTCTCCCTTATATGCTGGTCCGCTCGTTGAATGGCCGTGGAATCCTCGCAATTATCGAAAGTCCGCGCGTGGATGACCTCGCTCGTCCATGACATCTGCTTATGTCAACGGTGGAGGAAGGGTAGAGGCATGAGAGTGCAGCCTTCGCATGGTCGAAATTGGCTAGCTTCGATGTGAGATTCGCACGGTAGTTGCCAAAAACGTTAAGTTCCTTTTAGTGGTTGGCCTCGTTGTTGAGGTCCACTGTGAACAGAATTACAAGTTGTCTGCTTTCGCAAGATGCTGTAATGACCTTTTGGGTCTGATGTGAAATCGGCACGTGTGGTACGTTCATATTCAGCAATATTTAACAATGAGAAGTTATATAATATAATATACAGATATATGTATATGTTAGTCCTGATAAATATATATATATATGTATCTATTAGCCCTGAAAAGGGTGGGTCCTTAACAATGTTTCCATTTGAAAAAACGAGTTTCGTAGTTCTATAGCGTATAAGGGTTGAAGATAAAAAAATTCTAATTATTGAAAAATGTAGTAAAATATGTACCTAGAAGTTAAGAAAAAAAAAATTCACAAAATATTCATATTTTCCGAGAAAATGAGTGTCTTACGTTAGTTGGATCACCCTGTATATATAAATATTTATATATAAAAATGTGATAGTGCGGGGTACCTGCGGCGCACGGTCGATATAACTACTAATAACATTGTAATTATCAATAAATATAATAACATATTATCAACGTCGGAGGCCGTGTAAGCCATGTTATGACTATTGCGAGAGATAATTTTCGTGCCCACAATTCGGGCAAAAGCCTATTAATACTTTTGGCGGTCGTTATATGTGGTGTGTGCTTTATTGTTGAATAGCGCACAGAAAAACAGGTTTTCGTAGTATATATAAATATAATATCAGATTATCGCGGCGGTATAAACTGTAATGTGCGTTGATATCGTAGCACACATGCACATTATTCGACGGTTCAGATTCAGACCCAAGTTTACGACACATTTTCATAAGTCTATTGTTTTAAAAGGTACTTCATATTTATACGTATTTTCCTCAAATAAATAGATTATGAATATCATTTTGGGTTATGGTTTTCTAATTTTTTATCGCACTCCCGTGTCAAATCACCACGAGCCGCCAATGTGAACAATATAAATCATAATATATTCAAAATACATTATTGAAGAAAAAGACAAATTTGAAATGTTAGGTACAAATATTTTTGAATGAGTAATTATAATATAAAATAAAAATTTGCAACACAACTTAAAATACCTATGCAACGCTTATAAATAAAGTTAATACTTAGGTAGGTACTAATGAATGATCAATACATTATAATTAATTGGTTACAAAATAGGTTGCTACTTGCTATATTTTTTTTGGTAATGGTAATCATACCGCAAAAGTAAAATAAATTAAATGATTTACTATTGTGTATGGGTTCTCTTTAGATGTCTTTCAAATAATAAAACATAAATATATCAATACAGAATTAGTACGATGCACAGATCATTGTCATAAGTTGACTGTGAATACTAAATATTTTTTTTGAAATTCCATATTGTGCGGTTTAATTTGAACTGTACTCGGTAAGCAAATAAAATATTTCACCATTTCGAGTAGGTATCTAAAATAAAACAAAACAAACGAAGTGATTGAGTACCCATTTTATGGTTTAACAACCAAATGTGTTAAATCTTTCCTAAGATCGGTCAACGACTAATAGAGTAAATTAAGAATAATCACGGTGTTCAAAATTGAAACAGTTTTCAAATAAAATTAAGAAATCGATTTCAGTAGTGTCGAATAACATTTTGATTACAGTTTAATCTAAAATTTAATTCAATCGACTTGCCAATAAAAACTTGTAAATCGTAATTGTTAAAAGTTAAAACTATTACTAAGTAGTAAATAGGTCCAGACTACAGTATACACTAGTCGCTAATGTAAGCAGATATTATTGAGTATTTTAACTTTTAAGGGAAACCGTTAACGACAATTCATGTATTATCATAATATTGTGTACCTACAGTGAATAAAATAGTAGAATGTTTACTAATCATTAATCATTGTAATATGTTAAATAAGAGAGGTACAGCTACATAACGTACCATTCCCCTTATCTCCTACTTTCGGACGTCTAGCTGTACGTCGAGTGCCGACTATCCATATTAAAATCTTTATATATTAATAACTTACCAATGCGTTAAGCTAATTAACATTTTTTTAGACCAAATAGTTTATTTTTTATTTTTAACCTATCATCCCATTTGACAATCAAAAGTTGCTATCGAAAAAACTAATTTGAGAGGGGGGTAAAAGCAAAAACAAATTGTGAAAAATTGAGATCATATTATATAAAAACATTTTTGGAAAACAAAATTCGATTATTAATTAAACGATAAGTGGATCGCCCTGTATATTGGAAGCGTTCGAACAGTGATTTAATTTTTTTTTAATTTATTTAACTACCTTGAATTGATAAGCTGTTTTTTTTTTGTATGCTAGTTTATAGTGTACTGGTTTAAACTGTTTTTGATTAAATAGTAGTTTTGTTTCCTAGTCCAAGTCACGGAATTGCTAAATTGTTTGAAATATTTTACATAAAATTTATACAACTATAAATAACCTAAAAGTTTAATTAGTAAAAACAAAATTTAAAAATCTTGTTAAGCTAGAAGATATTATAATCTTGTATGCCACCACTTGTATGAATCAAATTATTAGTATAATCTATTTATATAAACTCATACGCCTCGAGGGCAAGATTATAGAATATCATGAAAAAACAGTGATATTATAACTTCGTCATATGATATTTGATAAATCATAGAAAAAACAACAAATATCATAGACAAAACAATAACTGTTCACAAAATGGCAGCCACCGACTAGTGAATAATTTCATAAGCAACCCAATATAGGCAATATGTGTTCCATACATTGAGTTCAGTGCTTTCACACTACATTTTTTAGCTTCGATGCGGAGCTAAGTAGGTATTGTATTTACAAAGATATTGTTTTTATTTTTGTCACTGGACTAAATCCGAATAACGTTGCTTGAAAAAGTGAAATAAAGTAAACATTTTCTATCACTTCCAGGGGAAAGGGTGTATGGTATTTTTTTGGCTCGTCAACGTTTATCGGTAGTCCTATGTTTAACCAATATTTCGTACAAATTTGGAACTACTTCGACTTTTTTTTTAAAGTTATAAAACGTCGTAATTTTAAGTTGAAAAACATGTATATTTTTTGGGTGTTTTTTCGATTTTTAAGAGGAAGGAGTGACATATTTTTAACTTTCGGCCCAGTAATGAACCTTTCAGATCCAATTACTGATTTCTAGTGTTGCTACACGAATAAATCAGTTTAGTGGTTTAAAAGATATCGTGAGTAAAAAAATTAAAACGTCATTGTAATCTTTTCAGCTCCGCATCGAAGTTAAAATACTGAATTAATGCTTAAACGTCAAACTACTATATACTACGGTATTACGTTTAAGCCTTGCTTTATTCGGATTATAAAACTACAGAGTGAATAAAATCAAGCATTCTTAGCTTAACTTTGGTAAGTTTACCGGAGTTTTTGTTTCGAAGAAACCTAAAAAAATAATACAATAAAATGTCCGAAACAATATTATTATGGAAATCAATTTATTCTATGAACAAGTTTGTTTACACAAGTAGTGTAAACAAGTAGCAGGTAACTTTTTTGTTGACTATTATACGTGTATCATCAATGTATATTGAACAAATAACCCATATTTATATTTTAGCAAGTTTTGCTATAAAACAGAAGCTATAACAGAAGCTATTGCAAAATAATAAGAAGCATTAAAGTTTTAAATTCCTACAAAATATCAAGTCTCTTACGTGAAAAAAAAAATCATCATGTATTTCAAATATGTTAATATCATTTTATTCTTGTTTTGTTTTTATCAAGTAGCAAACGAAGCAGAGCCAAGATTTACTGATGAGGTAATTAAATGATCTCATACCTAAATGTATGATTAATTAAAATAATAATAATAATAACCAAATACTCTATAAACCTAGTGAATAATTTACTAGAAAAAATATTATTTCTGTAATAATAGTGTTCAAATTGTATACTAACAATAAAAATGTAATGATTTTAGCAACTGCAAGAAATTTATGATGGCACCAAAGAGCTTAGTTTAAAAGGAACAGTACAAAGAAGATTCAAGTAATTGGAGAGTTAACAGTGATGCAAGTACAAGATTACTTATCTGAAGACAAAAAATATGAAAAATATCAACTAACACATGAAAATATGCTGAAGATAACGGAAGAATTGGGGTGGAGTACGTTAAATAATGATTCAGTAATAGATATTGTAAAATATATAATATGTAAAATGCTTATAACTAATAATCACTTTAATGTTGTACATAAATTAGTATCGATAGGTAGTGTGTATGGCCAAATATTTACATATAAACGAAATAATAATAATATTAGTAATTGCAACCAGTCAAGTCGTTACAAAAAAAACATATAGTCTGGTAAATTTTATATATGAATAATTTTATTATGATTTCTAGTTTATGCAGATGTCTCATTCGATTACTTTAAAGTTATTATGAATAGAGTTATAGAGGATTTATAAATTGGCCGTCTCTAAGCAAGTAATATTTTTCACTCTTTTACCAATAAATGTTGCGTTTCTTTACAACATATTTTAGTTTTAATTGTTTTTTTTTAATATGATAAATAGAAATAAAAATTGTCACATATTTTAGGGTTGTTTGAGTTAACTATTAGTTAAACAAATAGTAAATATAAAAATAAAAATCCAGTACAGCGGGATCGGACATAATGAAGACGGAGCATATTGTTAAGACAGGGGAAATCACGGGTCTTAAGAAATGAATATAACAGTGAATAATCAATTTATTTTTACCTCCAGAAACAGAAATAAAGATACTGTTTTCACCCTTTCTGGTGATAAACGGCTTTTGATTATTTTTTGGTTTGTCAATGTTCACCAATAATACAATTTTTTGCACATTACTGTCTTCTGAGGCGTTTTTTTAGAAAGTAATTTCATCACTCTTAGTTGTAACAATTATTCATCTAGATCAGTGACTTCCCCGAACGAAGGATATTACAACGTTGTAGATATAATTTTATATACTGTATTATTATCGTATTGTAAATTAATTATTATGTCAATATTTCAGGGTTACAAATTTACTACAACATCCAACCGTCGTTCAGTGTATTCCAAAAGAAAAACTAAAGTGTTTAATTTCTCTCTTAATAAAAATCATTTTACTATGTTGATATCCTATTTTTTAGTTTCTATGTATTTATTTTAAAAATTGTAATGGGTGTGTGGGTTATTTTTGTTGTTTTAATCGATTACTGTATTATTTGTGTAATTTGTAAATGTTGTATTCAAATTATTAAAACATTTTAAAAATGTTAAATAACTCGTTTTCTGATGATTAAAAATATAAATTAACTGACGCGGCTATATAAGCTTTCACGTAGAGCTGAAAAAGGTATCAGGAACAGATAGAAAGCGACCCTGAGCTCTTAGATAAAATGTTATTTATATTAACCTTGTATGATTACATGCATGCGGATCTACAAATTTTTTTTAAAAAACAACTTGATTTTTTTTAATCTTTTCTTTTAAATTCAAACACTTATTTATATTATAATGATATATAAATATATGATCTGAACTAAATTAAAATGTTATACGACGCTGCTGAAATCGATTTCATGATAACTTTTATTTGAAAACAGTTTCAACTTTTAAGACGGTGATACTCTTCATTCACTTGTATAATAAATTAAAAGACAAGAATGGTAGTTTTCCGGCATAAAAACTGTAGTGTCGGGTAAGATCCAATTTATATTAAACTAAACTAAATATTACCTCTAAATACAACCAAGAAAATGCTAAAAATTGTCAAATGTAAAGTAAGTTATTAGAAATCTATTTTTGTTATACCAACAAATTATTCCATTAATCAACTGTACAAACTGTTCAACAACAAACTGATATACCTAATAAAATATGAAATGGTAACGTATATATTTTTTAAACTTTTTAAATTAAGAATATTTCACTAAAAATGTTGACTGGTTGATAACCAGTTTTGGATAATTTTTTTTAAAGTTATAAGAGTTTAAATGTTAGGACGGGAGAAGTGAGGTTGGGAAATGCGCGCTGATAAAAATAATACTACACTGCACCTTTCCTCCTGCCCTAAACTTGAAACTTCAATAACTTCAAAAATAATTATCCAAAACTGGTTATCGACCAGTCAACATTTTTAGTAGAATATTCTTAATTTAAAAAGTTTAAAAAATATATACGTTACCATTTACGTTTCAAAAATTGCTATAAAAAAATCTAGTTTGTGAGGGAGGTAGAAACGTAATAGTTTGTGGAAAATTGAGATCACATCATATAAAAACACTATGAAAATAAATAATTGTATAAACTTAGTGAAATATTGACTGGCTCGTGATAAAAAAAATCATCCTGTAAGGCAAAATCGTCCACATCGCAGTCTACTGATAATACATGTGAACGGATGACGGTTATGTAAGGTAAATTTGTTTCCAAACAGGTAGATTAAGAATCGATTGTCCATATAATAATGTGGCGGCCCCACATACAGCACTGTAGCGGATGTATGGCCACGAGCCGACACAGCTAGCGCAACCTAGCTGTCGGCATCGATACCGCCTCAACACATGGTCAGATCGCCAGATCTCGGTGGTTGTGACGAACCGTAGCGAACTTCTCGCATGTGATCAAAGTCACCCAGAGCGCACATATAAATACGCACACGACAACTACCGACCAACGTCTTCGGACACCGGCCGGGCGACCTTTTGCCTGCATCCGCCACAATAATAAAAAAATTAGAGCTCGAGTTATTTATGTCTCATTATCGGCGACAGTATTATCGATGGGGTCCAATATTATCATTATTTACTGGCAAATAAAAATGCTACTGCTGAAAAACGAACAAATATTGATTTTAATTTCAAATCTTTACCAAGTCACAGAAAACGAACAGATGGTTGAAAATTGAAAATTCAAACGCTAACATTTTTTTAAAAAAATTGTCTGCATACTTATGGAATTAAAAACATATGTTGTAACAACCCTGTAGCCCTGTACGTATGTATTGCAGGCTGTTTGAGTCTTGTCACAATCGTGGTGATAGATATTTAATAGAATAACTTCAGAGTAAATCACAAACATTTAATTTAATATACTTATAAAACATGTACAACGACAACCAGTTAATAGCATAAGTTCAGTATGCTTCAAAAATATGATGATTAAGACAATTATAAGCCGCTTAAGACTTCAAAAGAAGATGATAGGTAGAAACTTCATGTGTAGTGTATGGTGGTCCCAGCACATCTGCCCTGCTATGCCTGAAGTTCTCCCTTATATGCTGGTCCGCTCGTTGAATGGCCGTGGAATCCTCGCAATTATCGAAAGTCCGCGCGTGGATGACCTCGCTCGTCCATGACATCTGCTTATGTCAACGGTGGAGGAAGGGTAGAGGCATGAGAGTGCAGCCTTCGCATGGTCGAAATTGGCTAGCTTCGATGTGAGATTCGCACGGTAGTTGCCAAAAACGTTAAGTTCCTTTTAGTGGTTGGCCTCGTTGTTGAGGTCCACTGTGAACAGAATTACAAGTTGTCTGCTTTCGCAAGATGCTGTAATGACCTTTTGGGTCTGATGTGAAATCGGCACGTGTGGTACGTTCATATTCAGCAATATTTAACAATGAGAAGTTATATAATATAATATACAGATATATGTATATGTTAGTCCTGATAAATATATATATATATGTATCTATTAGCCCTGAAAAGGGTGGGTCCTTAACAATGTTTCCATTTGAAAAAACGAGTTTCGTAGTTCTATAGCGTATAAGGGTTGAAGATAAAAAAATTCTAATTATTGAAAAATGTGGTAAAATATGTACCTAGAAGTTAAGAAAAAAAAAATTCACAAAATATTCATATTTTCCGAGAAAATGAGTGTCTTACGTTAGTTGGATCACCCTGTATATATAAATATTTATATATAAAAATGTGATAGTGCGGGGTACCTGCGGCGCACGGTCGATATAACTACTAATAACATTGTAATTATCAATAAATATAATAACATATTATCAACGTCGGAGGCCGTGTAAGCCATGTTATGACTATTGCGAGAGATAATTTTCGTGCCCACAATTCGGGCAAAAGCGTATTAATACTTTTGGCGGTCGTTATATGTGGCGTGTGCTTTATTGTTGAATAGCGCACAGAAAAACAGGTTTTCGTAGTATATATAAATATAATATCAGATTATCGCGGCGGTATAAACTGTAATGTGCGTTGATATCGTAGCACACATGCACATTATTCGACGGTTCTGATTTAGACCCAAGTTTACGACACATTTTCATAAGTCTATTGTTTTAAAAGGTACTTCATATTTATACGTATTTTCCTCAAATAAATAGATTATGAATATCATTTTGGGTTATGGTTTTCTAATTTTTTATCGCACTCCCGTGTCAAATCACCACGAGCCGCCAATGTGAACAATATAAATCATAATATATTCAAAATACATTATTGAAGAAAAAGACAAATTTGAAATGTTAGGTACAAATATTTTTGAATGAGTAATTATAATATAAAATAAAAATTTGCAACACAACTTAAAATACCTATGCAACGCTTATAAATAAAGTTAATACTTAGGTAGGTACTAATGAATGATCAATACATTATAATTAATTGGTTACAAAATAGGTTGCTACTTGCTATATTTTTTTTGGTAATGGTAATCATACCGCAAAAGTAAAATAAATTAAATGATTTACTATTGTGTATGGGTTCTCTTTAGATGTCTTTCAAATAATAAAACATAAATATATCAATACAGAATTAGTACGATGCACAGATCATTGTCATAAGTTGACTGTGAATACTAAATATTTTTTTTGAAATTCCATATTGTGCGGTTTAATTTGAACTGTACTCGGTAAGCAAATAAAATATTTCACCATTTCGAGTAGGTATCTAAAACAAAACAAAACAAACGGTGATTGAGTACCAATTTTATGGTTTAACAACCAAATGTGTTAAATCTTACCTAAAATCGGTCAACGACTAATAGAGTAAATTAAGAGTACTCACGGTGTTCAAAATTGAAACAGTTTTCAAATAAAATCAAGAAATCGATTTCAGTAGTGTCGAATAACATTTTGATTACAGTTTAATCTTAATCCGACTTGCCAATAAAACACATTGTAACGTACTTGTAAAGTCGTAATCTGTGTAAAAGTTAAAGACTATAGTTGCTGTATTCGCTTATGAAGCAGATATTATTGAGTATTTTAACTTTTAAGGAAAACCGTTAACGACAATTCATGTATTATCATAATATTGTGTACCTACAGTGAATAAAATAGTAGAATGTTTACTAATCATTAATCATTGTAATATGTTAAATAAGAGAGGTACAGCTACATAACGTACCATTCCCCTTATCTCCTACTTTCGGACGTCTAGCTATACGTCGAGTGCCGACTATCCATATTAAAATCTTTATATATTGATAACTTACCAATGCGTTAAGCTAATTAACATTTTTTTAGACCAAATATTTTATTTTTTATTTTTAACCTATCATCCCATTTGACAATCAAAAGTTGCTATCGAAAAAACTAATTTGAGAGGGGGGTAAAAGCAAAAACAAATTGTGTACAATTGAGATCATATTATATAAATACATTTTTGGAAAACAAAATTCGATTATTAATTAAACGATAAGTGGATCGCCCTGTATATTGGAAGCGTTCGAACAGTGATTTAATTTTTTTTTAATTTATTTAACTACCTTGAATTGATAAGCTGTTTTTTTTTTGTATGCTAGTTTATAGTGTACTGGTTTAAACTGTTTTTGATTAAATAGTAGTTTTGTTTCCTAGTCCAAGTCACGGAATTGCTAAATTGTTTGAAATATTTTACATACAATTTATACAACTATAAATAACCTAAAAGTTTAATTAGTAAAAACAAAATTTAAAAATCATGTTAAGTCTAGAAGATATTATAATCTTGTATGCCACCACTTGTATGAATCAAATTATTAGTATAATCTATTTATATAAACTCATACGCCTCGAGGGCAAGATTATAGAATATCATGAAAAAACAGTGATATTATAACTTCGTCATATGATATTTGATAAATCATAGAAAAAACAACAAATATCATAGACAAAACAATAACTGTTCACAAAATGGCAGCCACTGACTAGTGAATAATTTCATAAGCAACCCAATATAGGCAATATGTGTTCCATACATTGAGTTCAGTGCTTTCACACTACATTTTTTAGCTTCGATGCGGAGCTAAGTAGGTATTGTATTTACAAAGATATTGTTTTTATTTTTGTCACTGGACTAAATCCGAATAACGTTGCTTGAAAAAGTGAAATAAAGTAAACATTTTCTATCACTTCCAGGGGAAAGGGTGTATGGTATTTTTTTGGCTCGTCAACGTTTATCGGTAGTCCTATGTTTAACCAATATTTCGTACAAATTTGGAACTACTTCGACTTTTTTTTTAAAGTTATAAAACGTCGTAATTTTAAGTTGAAAAACATGTATATTTTTTGGGTGTTTTTTCGATTTTTAAGAGGAAGGAGTGACATATTTTTAACTTTCGGCCCAGTAATGAACCTTTCAGATCCAATTACTGATTTCTAGTGTTGCTACACGAATAAATCAGTTTAGTGGTTTAAAAGATATCGTGAGTAAAAAAATTAAAACGTCATTGTAATCTTTTCAGCTCCGCATCGAAGTTAAAATACTGAATTAATGCTTAAACGTCAAACTACTATATACTACGGTATTACGTTTAAGCCTTGCTTTATTCGGATTATAAAACTACAGAGTGAATAAAATCAAGCATTCTTAGCTTAACTTTGGTAAGTTTACCGGAGTTTTTGTTTCGAAGAAACCTAAAAAAATAATACAATAAAATGTCCGAAACAATATTATTATGGAAATCAATTTATTCTATGAACAAGTTTGTTTACACAAGTAGTGTAAACAAGTAGCAGGTAACTTTTTTGTTGACTATTATACGTGTATCATCAATGTATATTGAACAAATAACCCATATTTATATTTTAGCAAGTTTTGCTATAAAACAGAAGCTATAACAGAAGCTATTGCAAAATAATAAGAAGCATTAAAGTTTTAAATTCCTACAAAATATCAAGTCTCTTACGTGAAAAAAAAAATCATCATGTATTTGAAATACGCTAATATCTTATTATTCTTGTTTTGTTTTTATCAAGTATCAAACGCAGCAAGATTTACTAAAGAGGTAATTAAATGATCTCATATCTAAATGTATAATTAATTAAAATAATAATAACAATAATAACCAAATACTCTATAAACCTAGTGAATAATTTACTAGAAAAAATTATTATTTCTGTAATAATAGTGTTCAAATTGTATATTAACAATAAAAATGTAATGAATTTTAGCAACTGCAAACAATTTATGAAGACACCAAAGAGCTTAGTTTAAGTAATATGGAACAGCTAAAAATGAAGATTCCTGAACATTTAAAAGAGGGACTAGTTAACAGGCATCACGTAAGAAATTACTTTTTTGAAGACTCAAAATTCGCTGCATTCAATCTTACACTTGAACAAATGGATAAAATAACAGAACCATTGATACAGGGTACGTTAAATAATGATTCAGTAATAGATATTGTAAAATATATAATATGTGAAATGTTAATAACTAATAATCACTTTGATGTTGTGTATAAGTTAATATCGAAAGGTAGTGTGTTATCTGAAGTGTACTTATAATTAATATTAAGCAAAAGTCGTCTGTAAAAATAGTTTGGTGACTTTTGATTATACCCGTTATGGCCAAATATTCTACATAAAGAGGCAATCGTAATAATAGTAAATGCAACCAGTCAACTCGTTACAACATAATAATAGAATTTGGTAAATTTTAGTATGAGTAATTAAATAATTTTATTATGATTTCTAGATAATATTAATACCCCATTCGAGATGTTTACAGCTGTTATGAATAGAGATATAAGCGATTTATAAATTGGCTGCCTCTAAGCAAGTAATATTTTTCACTATTTTTATTTTACCAATAAATGTTGCATTTCTTTACAACATATTTTAGTTTTAGTGGTTTTTATTTCTAATATGATAAATAGAAATAAAAATCGCCACATATTTTAGGTTTTTTGAGTTAATTATTAGTTAAATAAATAGTAAACATAAAAATAAAAAACAGTACGGCGGGATTGGACATAATGAAGACGGAGCATATTGTTAAGGCAGGGGAGGTCACAGTTGTTAAGGAATCAATATAAACCATAATTAATGAAATCACTTTATTTCTACATCCAAAAACAGAAATAAAGGTAATGTTTTCACCATTTCTGATGGTAAACGGTTTTTGATTATTTATTGGTTTGTCAATGTTTATTGCTAGTACAATATTTAAAGAATATACCATACAAATTAAGAACTAATTTTAAAAAAAAAGTCAGCCTATGGATATTTAACAAAAACTACAGTTCATGTACTAAATAAAAATACAATTTCAAAGATCATTATAAGACTTTATCTACTAATCTTCGGGTACAAAAATCGCATACAAAATCTTGTCGGACCATAAGAGATCAACAATTTTAAAAGTTCACCATTTTTCATTTAAATCCAAAAAAACACCTCAAAACATTACATATGTTTCAACTTAAAATAATGACGTGTTATGACTTCTGAATTCGCCAAAAATAGTCATCTTTTTTATTTTTCATTTAACTTTTATAGTTTTGTGACTGAGATCTGAAAAATTGACTGAAGATAGGTCTAGAGTGGAGTAATAAAATCCAAAGAGAAAAGGGCACAAATTACCCTTTGACCGTGGTAAATTTGTATGTTGTTTTGTTAGAGTAGTTAAAAAGAGTAAATATGATTTTTGGCACATTACTTCTCCAGTGACTTCCCCGAACGAAGAATATTACAACGTTGTAGATATAATTTTATATACTGTATTATTATCGCATTATAAATTAATTATTATATCAATATTTCAGGGCTACAAATTTACTACAACATCCAATCATCGTTCACTATATTCCAAAGGAAAAACTAAAGTGTTTGCTTTATCTCTTAAAAAAAAATCACATTACTATGTTGATATCTTATTTTTAAGTTTTTATGTATTTATTTTAAAAATTTTAATGGGTGTGTGGGTTATTTTTGTTGTTTTAATCGATTACTGTATTATTTGTGTAATTGTAAATGTTATATTCAAATCAATAAAACTTTATAAAAATGTTAAATAACTCGTTTTCTGATGATATAAGTATATACAAATATAAATTAACCTTAGCCGACTTGGCTTAGCTTATAATAATGATATAAAAATATACACAAAAGCTTCACGAGGACCTGAGAAAGGTATTAAAAGCCAAAAAAGTAAATTCCTTTAATATTTAAAAGCGGAAAATTAGACAGAAGATAGAGGTCAATTTTATATCAATTACATGTATAAAATAAAGGATCCGTACTGGAAGCGTTCGACAGTGATTTAATCATTTTTAAATTAAATATAACCATCTTGAATTAATAAGCTATTTTTTATTATACTGGTTTAAACTGTTTTTGACTAAATAGTAGTTTTGTTAACTACTCCAAGTCACGGAAGGGCTAAATCGTGTTTGTAATATTTGACATAAAATATATATAACTATAATTAAACTGATAGTTTAATTAGTAAAACAGAATCTAAAAATCTTGTTTAGTCTAGAGACGGAAAACGGAAACGGTCTATGGTATTTTCTTAGGTTATCGCCGTACTTCTGTACAGTGAACAGTATTAACTATGACAGTATGAAAAAGAATAATTAAAAAATGTATTTCATTTTTTATAATATTGATTGGGTATTTAACCAGATAATTAACCAGTCTCTCTGTATATTTAGGTACACTATTAAATCAGTATAGTTGGACAACGGCTTATTTAATTAAAAAGTCACTTATACTATTGCTATGAAGGAAATCAGTTTCAATAAATTGTTATAATGGTGCATTTTATTTTTCGAGAAAACATGATTAATACTTTAAATGGAAGTAAAATGAAATAAGATGAGCATCATTAATGTTTTACAAATATTATAATATTTGGAGTATTTTTCTGTTAAACATTTTTTTACATAGGTTTACTATCGACTATATTTTTTTTGTACTGTAGGTGTTAACACCTTTTTTCGTCTAAGCTTGGCTTAATCAAATATACGCAAAACACATGTAATATGCTACCGTAGTTAGACTTTTGCATCTCGATGTAACAAAAAAAAAAAATAGCTTAAAAAAAAGGCAATAATGTTTTGGACAAATTAATGTACAAGAATAATAATATAGCATACCCTGATCTTTTATTTATTAAAATAACAATAATAATTATACACTAGAAATAAACGGGAATAATTAAACAAATTGAAGAAATAATAAACTATAAAATAAAATATAGCTTTAATTAATAATACACAATAACCGTGTACCTATTGTGAATTATGTATTAGGTATATATTCTATACAAGCTTGGGTAAAAACCGTCTATTGGATCCGATTTAAATTTCGAGAAAAAGAGTCGGGTCGAGTTGAAATTTACAAGGAATGTTTATTTGGTATGCCTGCACACGTCAGTTGTATCAAATTTAAATTATACCCCTTTTCCACCCCCCCTAGACGGGGTACAAGTTTTTTGTCTTTTGGGGTTTTTAGCCATAATTTTAAGACATTTAAGTTGAAATTTTGTCAGTAGTTAGAACTCATAAGTATCCGTAATGTATTAAACGGAAAAAAAATCGTCACTACAGATTTCTTTAACTGTCGAAAAACTATGTTTTTCACAGATCTCATATTATTTTTACAAAATCACCTAAAATCTTAAATTTTTTTTATCAAATCATTACAACAATTGTATGTAGATCCATGCAGAAAGATACTATTAAGTTTTGATACTCGAGTACAATTTTTGGGTTTTAATTTTAATTTTTTTTTTTTGTTACCTAAGTTTTTTTTGGCTGAGTAAAATTAAAAACTGATATTAGATTCGCAATCACCGACCCCAAAAACATATAATTTGACCACTTTTGAAGTCTTTTACACAAAAATCCAGACAAATATTTTAGCTTCGGTGCAAAGCAAAGGTATTGGTTCCACCATGATGTGGGCTTTTTTTTTATCTGTATACACTGAAGTCGAATTGACTGTAAACGATTTGCTGGCGGCAACGGTGACTAACGGAAATGTGGTCGACCAAATACAACTAGCCTATCAGTTCTTGAATTGTTCGTATCCCAGTGTGCTTATAAATCTATCCATATACGACAGAAATTGTAATAATAATATATTTTATATTTTAATTTTGGAAATCTATTGTTATTTAAATAAAATCATAACTTATTTTTGATTGATGTTAAAATATTTCTAATTCGCTACTGATTTCGCGAGTAGTACGCCAGTAGTTAGAGCCGCGTGTCTTAAAAATGTGCCGAGTTATAATAATTAAATAAAAAAAACAGTACACATTGTAGTGTTATTTAAATGGATAATGAAGCATAGTATTGCGACTAGCCAAAAGACACTTTTTCTACCGAGATGTATCAATTTTTCTTCTGGAGGCGAAAAAGAAAATACATCTTTGAACCAGTCTAAAAAATATATTCATATGTGTCGAGCAATTACTTGATATTTATTACTGTAATTATTTTCTGTGAGTTTCTGGAAAAGCATAAGGAATTTAATTTAAAATTTTGGAAGTAGGAAAAACAATTTACAAACACTATCACTGGTTAGGTTAGGTCTGTGTCTTGAATCAGGATGAGTGATGAAGTTTTTTGCGGTTTGACATTCAAACGAAGCAAATACTGTTAATTTTAAAATGTTGATAGTGTTTTAAAAAAGTATTTCAATAGCGAAAATTGTAATAAAAATAATTAGTATTAGAGGAAATAATAATGGTAGAAATTAAGGCGAAAACAATTGCTGGTTGATAAAATCATTTTCATAAAAAATGCATAAAGTTTATGATGTGACATTGTCGCCGATAGTATATTTTATTTAGTAGAGATATGAAATAGGTATTGATAAAAGCACTGTAAAGACAATAAAGTACTTAAAATTAGCCTATAATTATTGCATATAATTAGTATAAATCACGTGTTTGAAGAAATTCAATTTAAATATTAAACCAGCTCCCAAATGGTTAATTTTAACTTTTAAAGATATAATTTTTATAATTTGCAATTATTTTTGTAACCAGTCGCTTGTTGTTTTAATTTTAAGCTACTTAGTTAAATCTCAGCCAGACACCAGAATTATAGGTCATGCCTATTTATACCCACTACACCTTTACCCAAATGACGGTACTAGTTATCATAAAATTTATATTATAACTAAATAAATAATTGTAGCGAGTGAGGATGTTATAGAAAATTAGCAAATCAAATTTAACCAGTATGACGATAATAAAGATAGTTTAATCTCTATGAGTATTTCAGAAATTATTATTCGAAGTCAATAGGTATCCATACTAGATATATTTAAATCTTGTTAAAGTGACACAACAATATTATGCGTTCATATCGTTATACAATCAGTTGACATAAATATTTTCTGGAGATGATCAAATTTATATTTAATAAAATGTAACCGCTAATGACTATTTTAAGTTTTTTTGCGTTTTTCCATAATTTTGAATATTTTTACTTATTTATTTTACCTTTTTTTTTATGTATTAAATTACAATAAAGAGTTTTTTAATGATTTGCTGTTACAACTTTTAGTAAGTTACATAAAAAAATGTAGTTACTACATCGCACAATTTGCCTGTTATATATATTTTGTCCCAAGACGTATAAATTTGTATTTGTGTATCGTCTGCCGTAGCAGCTGTATCGCAAAAGAAGCCTGACTTTATAAGTATAGTTTAACAACAGCTGTCAACTAAGGCTACCGTTTGTTCGACTGTTTATGAAAAATTTCAATACTTTACATAATTATCGTTACTTTTAGTAGTTAGCATAAAAAAATAATATAAATTTCAAATTGCTAAAGATTGCTCTGTATTTTCGCCAAAATATTATTTATTTAAAAAGAAAATCAAGCGTATAAGTTATCATTTAAGTTTAAAAATTCCACCTTTTTTAGGCCCCTAGAAAAAATACTAAGGGTTTTCAGCCATTATTTGGCTGCAATTGTTTACTTTGACTACTTTTTGCTCATCGATGATGAAGACAAAATAATATATCGTTGTAAAACATACACCTTACAATATTATACGAGTATCTTAAAAATTGCTTCTAAAACCTGTAATTCAAATATTAAAATAGATTAAACAAATAATAAGACACACACTTTTTGTAGTTTTAGTAACCGGAGACACTTGAGTTTGTGTAAAAACATGTTTTCAAAAAAAAAAAAACCAGTACAGTGGGGTCGGGGCATAGTGGGGACGGAGCATAGTTGGGTCGGGGCATATTGGGAACGGGAGGTCACAGGTTTACAGGAATTTTAAATCTGAAAGTGATAAAATCACTTTCGAAAAAACGCTTCGATGCAAATCGGTAGTTAGTATTTTCAAGCCAGTACAGTCCAAACCAAGCACAGTATAAACCAGCAAAGTTAGAAAGTTTTAAATGAAGATTCTGTATTTACAAATGAGCATCAAAGCGTTTATTTCAAAGCGATTTTATCCGAGAGGACTAGTACAGTAGAGTATTGGCATAATGTAATCAAAGCAATGAGGAAACGGAGTGGTCACAGGTCTACAAGAATTATTATAAATAAAAGTGATAAAATTGAATAAAATCGCTTTCAAATAAACGCTTTGATGCTCATTTGTAAATACAGAATCTTCATTTAAAACTTTCTAACTTTGCTGGTTTATGACTGTGCTTGGTTTGGACTGTACTGGCTTGAAAAAACCAACCATGTTAATCATTTTTTATTTTTACCACACAATGATATTTCATGGTCATTGTGATTTTTCTGCCCTTCGGTAACAGGATTTAGGGAGGGGTGATTTTGGAATCTCTTATAGCAGCCTCTTTCTTAATTTAGTTTTGCTTGTTATACTTGGCTGAATTTTGAAGTTTATAACGTCTATCAAAAGATTCGTAGCCTTTTGAAATATTAAAAAAAAAATGAGATTTCTAAAATAACCGTAAAGCATTTGAAAGACTTTAAATCAATTAGTTAGATAAATTGGGTTATTATAAT